TACGCTTCGTGGCAGCTGAAGTCACATGAGGCGAGATATCCCACGCATGATCTTGAGTTGGGAGCGGTGGTGTTCGCCCTCAAGATCTGGAGGCATTACCTATAATGGGTCCGTTGTACCATGTACACAGATCACAAGAGTCTAAGACACACTATGGATCAATCGAACCTAAACATGATACAACGCAGGTGGCTGGATGTAGTCAAGGATTATGATTGCAAGAGCCTTTACCATCCGGGTAAAGCGAAAGTGGTGGGAGATTCCCTGAGCCGCAAGTTGGCTGAACCATCTGTTCCAGTGGCATGTATGATGATATCTGTGGATTCTATGTTGGTCAGTTTGATTAGTGAGGCTCAGGCCGAGGGAGTGTAGGAGGAAAATTGGAAGAATGTGAGGATCAGGGGCGAGATCACTAGATTTGTTCAGGACAGTCGTGGTTTGTTGACCCATTATGGACGAGTATGGATTCATGTTCCTGCTGGGGTCAGATAGATTGTATTGGAGGAGGCTCATGAGTCTTGCTTCTATATTCACCCGGAGGCCTCCAAGATGTACCGGGATCTGAGACTGAGTTACTAGTGGTCGTACATGAAAAGAGAAATCACTTGGTACGCCGAGAGGTGCTTGACCCATTGGATGGTCAACGCCGAGCATCAGAGGCCGCATGGAAAACTACAGCCTCTAGAGGTTCCCATGTGGAAGTGGGAGCAGATCATGATGGGTTTCATTACCAAGTTGCCAAGAACGGAAAAGAGTTTCGATGCTACTTGGGTCATCGTGGACCGATTGACCAAGAGTGCCCATTTTCTGGCAATTCGGGAGAGCTCATCAGCCGAGAAGTTGGTTGATGTATATATTCGCAAGATCGTTGCTCGCCATGGGGTATTAGTCACTATTTTTTTATACTGTGATGTTCAGTTTACCTCCTGTTTCTAGCAAATGTTCCATGAGGAACTGGGAACGAGGCTACATTTCAGCATAGCTTATCATCCGTAGACCGATGACCAGATTGAGCGGACCATTCAGACTCTCGAGGACATGTTGCGAGCATGTCTCATTGATTTTGGTGGGAGTTGGGACACTTACCTACCCCTTGTAGAGTTCTCCTACATCAAAAACTTTCACTCCAGCATTGGTGCCCTACCTTTTGAGTTGTTATACGGGCGGAGATGTCGTACCCTAGTTTGTTGGGACGAGGTTGGTCACAGGGTGTTAGGTCGGACTGAGGTGGTCTTGTAGACTACCAAGATGATTCAGCAGATCAAGCAACGCTTGCAGACTGCTCAGAGTTGGCAGAAGAGTTACGTCGACCGGTGCCGAGCTGAGTTGGAGTTTCAGGTCGGTGACATGGTGTTACTGAAGGTCTCACCTTGGAAGGGTGTGATCCGCTTCAGCAAGAGGGGAAAGTTGGGTCGTCGATACTTTGGGCCGTTTCGGATTATTTCCAGGGTTGGCAAGGTGGCATAGAGATTGGATATTCCGAAGGAGCTCAACCAGATCCATATCACATTCCACGTTTCGCAGTTGCAAAAGTGTGTATTGGATGAGGATGCGGTTGTGTCATTGGATGATTTTCAGATCGATGAGCGCCTGAACTATGTTGAGAGGATGATGGCTATTTTGGAGTGGAAGGAAAAGATTCTATGTAACGAGGAGATACATTTGGTAAAGGTACAGTGGCAGCATCGGAGGGGATCCGAGTGGAGTTAGGAGCGGGATGACGAGATGCGGGAGCATTATTCGGATTTGTTCACGGCAGAAGGCTTCGAGGACGAAGCCTAGTTTAAGAGGGGGAGAGTTGTAACATCCTAAATCCCAGGTATAAGATTTACGGCTTAAAATACATTTTTACCTTTGAACTTGTCGAATTGATGGCCTCAGAATCGACGTGTAGGAAGCTATCTACTCGACAAGTTGTTGAGAAAAACTCAACGAGTTGACAGTTGTTTATGAAACCCTAATTTTCAGGGTTTTTCACCCTATTTAAAGACTTTATGACTCACTTTTAGCCTCCCTTATCGTCCCCTCAGTCCAGAGAAACCCTAATTGCGCGTTCCCTCTCGATTTTGAGTGTGTGTGTGAGTTTAAAGAGTGTTCTTTGGTGCTTTTCTTGAAGAAGTTTGAAGTTGGTGGTGCTTGGCTGAAGGGAGAAGCTCTAGATCCAAAATATTCACTATTGTTGCATCCACATTGAGGTATAAAGTCGATACATTGACCATCTAATTACTAGATCTCTTCATTTGAGAGTTTATGGCTATTTTTGGCTCATTTTGGGACCATTCTTGGATTTGGGCATTTTATGAAGTTAGAACTTCAGATCTGGAAGCCTTGTGGCCCCATTGGGACTAAAGCTTTAAGCTTTTTCAAGTCTTGGCCCTCCTTCATTCCCTAAGTCCCTTAATAAGCTTCATTCTGGTGTTTTAGCCTCTTGCTTCGTTCTGGACACTGTAGGAACTCGACGAGTTGTTCTGACAACTCGGTGAGTTGGTTTTTTCCCGTTTCTCTGAGTACTGAAGAAACTCAACAAGCAATAAATGTACTCGACGAGTTGGGTTAACATGGACTGTTGACCTTGATTTTTGACTTTGACTTTGACCATGGTTGGCCAAGTTTGACTTTGAGGGTATTTTAGGATTTTGATGGATTGATCACTTGGTGAATGTAGGCATTGAGTAAAGAGCTAAGATTCGGAGTCGGTCCTTATCAGTTCTGTTCAGCTTGTGAGGTGAGTTTTCCTTACCGTACTTAAGGGTCTAAGGCACCAAGGTCGGCCCTTTGGATTGTTATCTTGTTTTGTCATATGATTAAGTACTGTTATGATCTGTTAGATCGGTATCCTGGTATATAGGATGTTGCTATGTTGTTATGATCTGTTAGATCGGTATCCTGGTAGATAGGATGTTGCTATGCTATTATGTTCTGTATACTGGTAGATAGGATGTTGCTATGATTAGTGATCGGTAAGACCTGTTTGACTAGCTGTATACGGTTATATGATTATCTATATATGTGCACATGTTTGATTGGTGGCTGAGGCTTCACTGCTTTGTTTGTAAGCCAACAGGCAGTGGTATTCCAACTCGATGGTTGAGGGCTCATAGTATTCCATCCCAAGGATGATTAGACTCATAGTATGTTGGCATTCCAACCCGATGGTTGAGGGTCATGGGGTATTCCAACCCTATGGTTGATCAGACCCATAGTATGTTGGCATTCCAACCCGATGGTTGAGGGGCCTGGGGTATTCCAACCCGATGGTTGATTGGACCCATTATATGCTGTTTGTGATATGTGTTATTTGTGAGTGTTGGTACTTTGGGGGAACTCACTAAGCTTTGGGGTTACAGTTGTGGATTTTGTTTTAGGTACTTCGGATGATCATGG